GGCTCGGACAGGTCGGCCGCCTCGAGGGACTCGGGTGTCTTGAAGATCCGATACTCGTAGATCTCTCCAGATATCTTGGTGACCGCGTCCTTGAGGGCCTGAGTCTCGGCTGGGATAACTTGCTTTCTAAAGCGCTGACTCCAGACCCTCTCGACCGGGAGGATCCACGGCTCGTACTTCACTGAGAACAGCCGGTTTTTCCATCCCCGGGCAGGCCCTCAATCGAGCACATGTCCGCCCGAGACTGGGTCCCGCTCCCGTATGTGGCCGCCAGCACCTTCACCTGGTAGATGAAGTTGAAGAGCTCCATGGTGCAGGCCAGGTTGTGTCGACCGCAGATCTGCGGGAAGCATGCGATCATCCGGTGCGCATTTGGGCAGATCTGCCCGGGCACCACCTGGTAGTAACCCAGGAACGCGGTGAGGAGGCCCGAGAAGGGGAAAGTGATCGGGGCCATGAGGGAATCGTAGTGCATCTCGAGCCACTTTCCCCGGTGCCGCTCGATGATATTCCTGAGCTGCCGGCTTGTGTCAAACTCGACCCGACAATTGAAGCATGTGTTCCATCTCAACTAAAAGCCTAAGCTGATAGTTGGATACACATTAATGGATATATGCTCACACGCCCCCTCACGTGTACGGTGGATTCCAACCAACACGTGGACCGGTAAACCGTAGTCGCTTACGAGTGGCGTTGAGATTCGAACCCATGACCTTTACGCTGGCTCTAATACCAAATTGAAGCATGTGTTCCATCTCAACTAAAAGCCTAAGCTGATAGTTGGATACACATTAATGGATATATGCTCACACCGACTGGCGAGAGTTGCGGCGATTTTTGCTGCTTCGCCCTTGGTTAGTTTGCTCATCTGGGTCTCGACGCTCTCGCTGTTGAGAAACTCGAACCCGTCTCCGCCTGACGACGCTGGCTCGGCCGGGTCCTCTTCGACCAGCTCTGCGTCATTTGCCCGGTCGCCCCCTTCGGGCCCAACCTGAGGGTAATCCCCTATTACCCTCGTAGGCGTTTCCCTAACGCCTTCAACCGGGGAATTCCGTCCGCTCGTGGACGTTTTCCCGCTCTCCTCGCTCGAGCTCCCCGACCCGCTGGAGCTCGACCCCGACGTCTCAGACGAGCTCGACGACCTTTCTCGCTCGGGGGCTCGGTCGGGGATTTGTTGCGGTCGTTGTACGACCTCTGGAGAATAGGACATGATGTCCACCTCCTCGCTAATCTGCTCGACCTCGTCGTCGTAGTCTGCAACCGAGACGTTCTGGCTGTCCGAGTCCGACATCTTTTCTACCTAAAGGTCGGTCGGGGTTAGTATAGGGCTCGGGACGTTGGGTCAGAGTTAGTCCTAACCTACTGCTATGCAAAGCTTAAAATAAAAACAAAGCAAGGAAGTAGAAAGCTTACTGATCAGGGAGACTTTGATGAAGCTTGAAGTTGGTTTGCTCGGTTGATCTACTGAGATGTTCACTCGGGACTCTCTGAGGGTACCGATTGATTCAGAAGATTGAGAAAAGTTCAAATGAGGGCCTATTTATAGGAGAACATTTATGCGGGAAACAAGCCCACTTGCGTGACACGACCCGCACTGATTCCGAGGCGACCGTTGCAGTCGCAGAGGCCGGCAGTCGTCGACACGTGGCGAGAGAGGGAATGATAGCTGGCCGGTCGGTTTGGCGGCTGGCGGTTGGGCTTCTTCATCCCGTCCCATTTTTTCCCGGACGATAAAAAAGGCCCGGGCTGGGGGGGCTCTTGGTAGGGAATATCCCGACCGACATAGTGCTGTCCCTTTCTTCTTGTCTTTGCAGGTAACAGGTCGGGTTTCTTGTGAAGAACCCGGTCGGGATCCGACCGGGAGTTACCCGAGCGGCAGTGTCGACCACCGAGCGGTAGCCCTTTAGCGAGAGAGCTGACGAGGAACACGTGGCGGCTCCACCCATTGACAGGCAGGGCACCCGGGGAGGCGACACGTGGTTGCTACGTGGGAAGCATGCCGAACGATCGGATTTGTGTCTCCGGCTCCACGGCTATAAATACCCGCGATAGCGACAGTGTAAGGGACTTTTGGACGATCGATTGGTTGTTGTTAGAGAATCCCGACCGCAGTCAGTCGGTACTCAGAGCAACCAAGTAGATTGTACTTAGGGCCTTCACCGTGATCAATAAAAGAGTTTACTTGCTTTAATTGGTCTCATATTTATTTAATTACCGCTCCACGTGGCAATTAACACTATCATATATCATATGCACCAAGCTTGTTACAAATGTATTCAATCCTATGACTTCTTAAAGCTTTAGTAAATATATCAGCTAATTGATTATTTGAGCCTATAAAAGATGTAGTAATATCTCCAGAAGTAACTTTGTCTCGAACAAAATGACAATCAATTTCAATGTATTTTGTCCTTTCATGAAAAACTGGATTTGATGCAATATGCAAAGCTGCTTAGTTATCACAAATGAGCTTCATGGACTCCTTTGTACAAATCTGCAGTTCGGTAAGGAGGTTTTTCAACCACACAAGTTCACATGTTCCAACGGCCATAGATCGATATTCGGCTTCTGCACTTGATCGAGCAACAACATTTTGCTTTTTACTTTTCCAAGAGATTAAGTTGCCACCAAGAAAGATACAATATCCAGATGTTGATTTTCTATCCCATGCACCTGCCCAATCTGCATCTGTGTACCCAATAATTTCAAGGTTTCCATGGTCTTTGTATAACAAACCAGTGCCTGGAGATTTTTTAATATATCGTAAAATCCGAATGGCAGCTTCCCAATGACTTTCACGTGGAGATGCCAAGAACTAACTAACAAAACTTACCGCAAAAGAGATATCAGGTCGGGTTACAGTCAAATAAAGTAATCTTCCAACCAATCGTTTATATTTTCCCGGATCTTAGATAAGCTCCCCCTGGTCTGGTAGGATTTTGATATTTGGATCCATAGGAGTGTCAAGAGGTTTACAATTCATCATACCTGTGTCTTCTAGTATATCCAATGCATACTTTCTTTGTGATATGCAAATTCCTTGCTTGGATTGTGCTACTTCAATTCCCAAAAAGTATTTTAACCTCTCGAGATCTTTTGTTTCAAAATGTTGGAATAGATGTTTCAACAATTGTATTCCTTCAACATCATCTCCTGTCATGACAATATCATCAACATATACAACAAGATAAATGCTCTTACCATGTTGATGTCTATAAAAGACGGAATAGTCAACTTTGCTTCGATTTAAACCAAAATTTTGCACTACTATGCTGAACCGTCCAAACCAGGCACGAAGAGATTGTTTTAGACCATAGAGAGAACGTTTGAGCTTACAAACCAAGTTACTCTCCCCCTGAGCAACAAACCCAGGAGGTTGCTCCATGTAGACTTCTTCCTCTAAATCTCCATGCAGAAATACATTTTTAATATCTAACTGATGCAAGGGCTAATGATGAACGACAGCCATAGAAAGAAAGATTCTGACCGAAGCAATTTTAGCTACTGGTGAAAAGGTGTCAGTGTAATCAATCCCAAAAACATGTGTATATCCTTTGGCTACCAGTCGAGCTTTAAGTCTATCAACCTGTCCATTGAGCCCAACTTTCACAGTATAGATCCATCAGCAACCAACAGTTGTTTTACCTTCGGGTAATGGAACTAACTCCCAAGTCCCCGATGAATGAAGAGCAGCCATTTCATCAACCATAGCCTGACACCAACCAGGGTGGGAAAGGGCTTCTTTAATAGATTTAGGGGCAGAAACAGAAGATAAACATGTGATAAAAGCATTATATGAAGGTGAGAGACGATCATATGAAATAAAGTTGTATATGGGAAAGGGGTTTCGTGATGACCTGTTACCTACACGACTTGCGATAGAAGAGCTTGTTGCTGGAACCGGGTTCGAGGGCATAGATAGCTCGAGAGATGAATCAGTTGGGATTTCATCGATTTGAACTGTCGTGGGTGGTCGAGAGCGGCGATGATAAGTGTAAGGAAAGGGGGTAACACTGTTGTTTTGTAAAGGAGGTTCAGTAAGTGAGGGACTAGGATTTCTAGATGATGACGGATCTTTAGGTAAATGTACCTCGGTCCCTCCTTGAAAAGTAGGAACAGGAAGAACATCAGGAAAATGAGATATGGTGGTCGGTAAACTAGATGAAAAGAAAGGTGTTGATTCATAGACGAAAGAGACTGCCAAAGGAGACTACAAAGTTGAGCATCTAACATTTGCCAAACTGACTTTTCTTTTTCCAGTATCATATCCACTCCTTTTTGCAAGTGGTCAACAACACCTTGGCCCATAAACCATAATTCTACGGCATCCGACCAAGAGTGGTAATTTTGAGAACCACATAATCTTTCAGAAGTGATTACCGGGTTTCTAGACAGATTAGGCACATAAACAGAGCTCGAAGAAGTAGGTAAATTAATGGCAGGAGAAATACCCGAAGAATTTTCGTTGGAAGACATCGCGACCAAAATGAAATCTGATGGTACAAGCGAAATTGCAGAGGGCCGACGAGCCGGACTGGGAAGTTTCGCCGGAAAACCTCGCCGGAGACGGCCTCACGCGCCGGCGCGTGGTGACAGAGCGCCGGCGACATGGTGGCGCGTGAAGGCGCGTGGGCGGTGTTCCGACGACCGGAAAAGATGGGTCGGGGTCGCCGGAGACTGCAGAGGAAGGTTGTAGTATTATTTTGACAAAAGAGCACACCTTTAGGAAGTAATATGAGAAAATAGTTTCGGATGAACAGTACTTGTTACTGTTCACCGAAAAAATTTTCAAATTTTTTCAAATTGTTGGCTTGATACCATGTTGAGAGAGATGTAGAAAGAGTTGTTATTACTTCCTTGTCTCAATGGGGAGACAACAGATAAATATATACAGACTAAGAGACACAATCCTACAGACACAACCCTACACAACTTCAACAGCTATATTTCTACCGACACAACTTTTGTGTTTCAACAATCCTGATATTACAGATTTCAACTTAGAGAAATGTTGTCAACATCACCAGAAACTCTCTGCATCTTTGATACTGCAATATCACAACAAAATTCTCCCCATCTATATAACTCCTCAAAAACTCTTGAAATGCATTTGTTAGTCTCTTGCATGGAGGAATGACATTAATAACAAGAACACCGTGCTTGCTAAGAAGTGTCTTAGCCACCATCAATGGCAGCAGTAGCACTTGAGAATACCCTGATAGAATCTATGTAAGAAGATCCTGATGTTACAGACTTCATCTTACTTAGGAAAGTGTTGTCAGCATCACCAGAAACTCTCTGAATCTGTGATACGGTTGCAATAACAACAAAGTTCTCCTTATCTGCAACATCTATTTCATATAACTCCTCGAAAACATCTTGGAATGCATCTGTTAGTGTTTCATAGAATCTCTTGCATGGAGGAATGACATTAATAATCAGAACACCATGCTCACTAAGAAGTGTCTTAGCTGCAAGCAGGATGGATTTCTGAACAAACTCTGGTGGGGGTGCACTTGTTCCCATTCTAGCATCACTTGAGTCCAGATCAACCATAATGGCATTAAATTTGCCATTTATCTTGTCAAGAACATTATCGGTTCTTGCATCAATTCCATTTGGAACCCCAAGGCCTAGTTTTTCAATCATTTGTATTCCATCTCCTACACATAAATGCATTGATTCACTGTCTTTCAAGCCAAAATATTTTCTTGCAATTCTCAGCACAGCCTCATCCTCCTCAATGCCCAAAACTTCAAAACCCAACTGGGCATTCAAGAAACTGAGTAATGCCCCTCCTCCAACTCCCAAGCACAGGGCTTTTGGCCTAAACCCGCTCTGTATTTGATTGTCTAAATAAGAAGCAATCACTGATAGCCCAGCAACCATTGGGGTCAAATAAGGATGAACCAAGATCCCATTATCCAGTCTTAATTCCACTGTCTCTAACTCCTGAAAATCCAGTGAATCCGGGTGAACTCTCATCTGGGTTTGGATTAAATTCGGCATTCTCTTAAATCTCAACCTCCTCCGGAACTCTCTATCTCCACTCGTCACTTCCAGCCCCACATCTTCCACCAGCATTTCACCAACACGGTCTCCAACACATATCTCCAATACAACGCTACGGATCACTTCATCTTCGTAGCTGAGGAAAGGGATTTGAGGGAGCCCACCGCCTGTTCGATGAAATGCCTCTTTGGGACTCAACGCGATCAGCAGAGGCATCAAGCTCTCTTCGATCACCGACGTCTCGGAAACAGCATTTGCAGACAATGGGGGCTTATAGGAAGTGGGCAGTGGGGAATCCGGGGAGTTGCCAATAAGGACAAGGCGGGAGAGGTGCGGGAAGCTGAGGAGGAGCTGAAGGTGGCCGGGCTCTGTGGAGAAGGTCCAGTCCGATTCGCGGTAGAGAGGGACCAACATGGCGGCGGTCATGGCGGGTCCGGCGGCGGTGGGCGAGTCGAGGACGGCTACGCGGAGGAGAGAGGCGTTGAAGTGGTTAAGATGGAGGAGAGGGTTGGGGAGTGTGAAGGTGATGTGGCGAGAAGGGACTATGGTTTCGAATGTTGCTGGGTCGAGCGACATTGCTGAGACTGAGTCCCCAGTCCCCAGAGATACTGTGACAGAGTTCTTGAAAATGGTTTAGTATGAAGAAGCAGGGTAAAACTGGGGTTGTTGGGATGAAGCTCGATATAAGCAAAGCTACAGAGTTAACTGGAATATGGTGGAAGGGGTTTTACTGAAGTTAGGTGTTTTTTTTTTTTTTTTTTTTTTTTTTTTTGAAAAAAGGTGGTCCTAAATATTTTGCTAAAAATTAATTAGACCTATACATTTTTAAAAAGCGCAATCGAACACATGATCACACAACTAAGTCAGTCAACCCCATTAGTCGGTTACCACTTTGGTAAGTGGTGGTAACTGCACTCGTAAGTCGTAACACGCTACATAAGCTGTGTTTTTATTATTTGAATTGCCACATAAGCATAAATTTAAAAAAAAAAAAATTAATCAAATTAAAAAATGACTTAAATGTTACGCACAACCCTAATTCTAAAAATATTGCTTCGTCTCATTCACTGGATCAATGTTGCAACTTCTTCTTCTAAAGTTCTTCTTCTCCTCCTAAATTTATTCTTCCTCTTCTTCTTTTCTTCTTCTTCTTCTTCTTCTTCTTCTTCTTTCTATGCCATCTAACCTAGTACAGTGCTTCGGTTTCTGCTTCGCATTTCACCATTGGAGATGACATCATCATGTTGGAGTGGTTCACCATTTTTGTCTCCCTCAAAGTCTAGACCAAATCTACAGTATGAACTACCATTGTATTGTCGTTATGGGTTGAAATCACCACTATGTGTATCACGAGAAAATGTGCAACAATTTTTTGGATGTCAAATGTGAAAGATACATGTATTGCATTTAAGGTTTAAAAATGTTATTGATAAGTGTCTAAGATGTATTGGATTTAAGGTTTAAATTATGAATTTTTTGTTTAATTTTGTATTTGTCTAGGAAAGTGGATGTGGATTTTTTTATGTAGAGAAATGTTTTATGGAAAGATGATGAGGTTGAATTTGATTGGAATAAGAATGTTGGAATAGAGTTTTTTTTTTTTTTAAATAGTTGGAATAGAGTTGAAAAAGATGAAGTTAGAAATTATCGAGAAAATTTAACAATTATAAAGTGATGTTGAGAAAGTTTTCAAGCTGAAGTTGAAAGGAAAAAAAAGACAAAGAAACATAATAATTGGTTTTATAATTGTTATAGGAATAGCTGTGTTGTAAATTTGCAACAAAGGGCAAAACTTTATGGTTCTAGGTTCTGTACTTTTGTTTTGCAGAACCACTTCTCTCTAGATCTCTTCGCCTGTTGGTGTCTTGTCGGGGATGCGGGGATTCAGCTCTGAACTCGTCGGCGGGGATTCAGATCTGAACTCGTCGGCGGGGATTCAGATCTGAACTCATCGGCGGGATTTTAGATCTGAACTCATCGGCGGGGATTCAAAGGCCCGGTTAGAAAAAAGGGAGCCGACCTACCTTCCATGTAGATGTGAAGGAGCCTGATATTGAAAATGGATAGTGTGAGGTTACTGGACGTTCAGATGTCCCGGTGACAGAGGGTAGCCCTGAGGCACTAAAGGCTGTTAAAAAGGACTCATCCTTTACAAGCAAGGTGAAGAGGATAGTAATCCTTAGCGGTGCGATTTTTGCCTTGGGAAATGTTAATCATGCTACTGAAGCTAATATGTATGGGGATCCGAAAGCTGCTAAATTTCGTTGTGCTGAAGGATTGGCCCTTAAGCCAAAAAGTATTAGCTTGCTGCACAAAAGGAAAAAGTGCCGATTGAAGCAATGATATCGAGGGAAAAGCAAGGATCGAAGCAAAATCTGAGATTGAAGGATGTACCTATGGAATGCGCTGAGAGGAAAGGAAGGTCTTCTTGATTTCTTTCACGGTAAAGTGTCATAGCAATTCAACTGTTTAATTTCACAAATAACCATGAAAAAGTGCCGATCGAAGCAATGATATCGAGGGGAAAGCAATGATCGAAGCAAAATCTGAGATTGAAGGATGTACCTATGGAATGCGCTGAGAGGAAAGGAGGGTGTTCTTGATTTCTTTCACTGTATATATAGGGGTTGCGCTGTTGATTTACCCTTCAAAATATCATTTCAATTTTTTTTTTTAAAACATGTACTACTCGTAATGAAGAGTATCGCAATTCTTTAAAATAAAAAAAAAATAAAAAAAAATAAAAAAAAATTAAAAAAAAATAAAACTTTATGGTTCTATGATGTGTTTGCTATAGTTTAGTAATATATTGATTTAGTTTATTTTTGTTGTCATATGGATGTATGTTTCTAGTTAAGCCATGTATTAGATCTTGAATGAAGTTTATATATATATATATATATATATATATATATATATATATATATATATTTTGTAGTTTAAACTTGTCTTAGTTGAGTATCTAATAAAGAATGTACAAGAAGTGTCAAAGTGTTTTCCAAAACAGATACAATCTGCCAAAGATTCAAGCCAACAAAAGAGACACAATATGCCAAGAACTTAACTAAATTTTAGTCACAGCCTCTGCGTAACTACATTTTAGTTTCAATCTGCCAAAACATACCAGCAAAATATACAATCCACCAACAGAGATTACAAGCTGCGAAGATATACAATCCACCAAAAAGAGATACAATCTGCCAAGACCTTACTATAAGTTCATACAACAAAATCTACCAAAAATAAACTAAGTTAGTTCATTAGTTCATTGATGCTTGAGAGGCTTGATTGCTTGAGTTTGATCCAGGGTGAATGACTGGCTCCTGTGATTGACCAAGCTACAACAAAGGAAATGAGTATAAGCTATTATTGTAATAACAATTACAAGTATAACGAGAACAAAAAAGTTGTTGGACTACTTACATTCCTATTAGGACATTGTGGTTTATAATGGCTCGGGGTCTTACAAAGAGAACAACGTATCACTTTTCCCTTCTTTGATATTATTTTCTTTGCTAAGGTAGAGGTAGTGTTACCGGTAGTTGATGTGTTTTTCTTAGGACGAGATGGACTGCCACTTGCCTCACGCGTTCATTTTCTCTTTGGTCTTCTAGTAATTTTTTTTTTTGGAATTGGAACAAGTATCTCATCATTTTGTGTCTTTGGCCAGAATAACTCGCCATTCATTGGTTGAAGTGCATGGGCCCTTAGATAAGTCTCTTTTGAATAGCATGAGTCAATGTAGTCTTGAGGTCCCCTTCCAATGTCGAAGATCGCACATATTGCATGTGGGCATGGTATACCTGAAAGATCTCATGCCCTGCATGAGCAGCTTCTACCTGCAAGTTTGACCTTGAATTATTGTCTCCCTTTCTTAATTCCATAACCATCATCTCCATTGAAATCAACATATCATGATGTATTTAACCACAAGCATCAGCCATATATTAAGCATATATTAGTTTCAGCATATATACTAAGGCAACACAGATTCAGGCAATTGTAAGTCATTTTCTACATATATACATATTCAACACATATTTTAAGTCAATTCCAACACAGATTTCACATATGCAACACAGATTTTAAGTCAGTTCCAACACATATTTTACATATTCAACACAGATTAACTTAGTATATTAAGGCAACAGAGATTTAGCATATCAACACAAATTAAATTAGTATATATTAAGGCAACACAGATTCAACATATCACCGAAGATTAAATTAGTATTAGTTTAGCATATATACTAAGGCTAAACTGAAATTTAACTTACATTCCATCCCATACTTTCATGAATATTTGTATTCAGCTTCTTCATAACCAATGGTCCATAATTTCCAGTCCAGCTTTTTACCAATTTAATTTTTTTTGCAATCATCCGCATCACCCCTACGTTTATGTCTTCCAACATAGGGATAATGGGCTTCACTCTTGCTTTCAAAAAGGTGTCATTAAAAGCCTCACTGAGATTGTTATCCACAATATCACACTTGACATTCGTTCTAAAGAAAGCCTTGCACCAAAATCTTGGAGGGTACCTTAAAATAGTATACACCAAACAAACACAAATTCTAAGTCATTTTCAGCATATATAAAGCACAATTCTAAGTCATTTTCTGCATATATAAAGCACAGTTCTAATACATTACCTTTCTAAGTCAACTTTTGTTGTAGGGTCCATATTTCCTAAACATTTCATTTGTTCTTGGAATTGAGGTTCAGTGGTATCCTTTGCACACATCCAAAAGTGGTATTTCAACACTTTGCCTCTATGCAACTTACTCCAATTGGCGTACACATGTCTTGCACAGTCACGATGCTCAGTGTCAGGAAACAACTCTTGAATCACATATGTTAATCCCTACAAAATATTACAAACAAAATAAGTACAGTCCAAGACTTAAATAAAGTGTTACAAATGGTTTTGTATTAATTTATTCTTTATCTTCTGTTGGTCACTAATTATAGTCCAAGGGGAAGTATTAGTGATGCCCCAATCTGCCTTCAATAGCCCAATAAACCAACGCCAAGAATCAGTATTTTCTATCTCTACAATCCCCAATACTATAAGATACATTTGGTTGTTAACATCTCTACCAGCAACACTTAATATTTCACCTTTCAACATTCCTTTCAGAAAGCATCCATCCAACCCAATCACTTTCCTACATCCTTCTAAAAATCCATTATTTACAGCTCCAAAACAAACGTAAAATCTCTAAAAAAACACAAGGACTTTCGGGTGTTGTTTTATTGGTTTTTACAACAGTAGTGGTACCAGGATTATAGTTGATACATTCAGCAGCATAATCCCTTATTCTACAAAATTGGTCTTGAAAACCAGCATCAATTTTCTTCAATACAGCTTTGATTTCCCTCTTTACCATGAAGATTCCCACATTTAGTTTTAGTTCTGACTGGATGTGTTTTTTCAATTCTACTGGTCCAATTGAAGGGTTGTCTCTTATCTTATGATTCTTATCCACATACATATCATCTATCCGCGCTTGGCTTACTATTCTCAAGCTGTATTTTAGATTGCACATGTGCTCCGTAGTAACTGTTTGAAGTTGAAAACACTTGAAAGTGTCATCTCATGATCCATGAGCTTGAAATGGGCAAGGCTAGTCACATGCAAAGGACACGCGCTTTGGCTCATTCCTCACAAAGTAGATATTTCTCTTTGAGTACACTACATAATTTGTCATTGCCTTTTTAAATTGTTTCCCATCATCATATAGGGTACCCACTTCAAGCTCAACTGAATCTACATTTGGATTGTACGAAGGGTATTTAAATCTACTTGTTGCATTGGTGGTTTGCTCAAATGATGCTTCTACCTCTTCTTTTTCAGATTGATAACTCAAGGGGTCATCAGAGTCATAATACTGACTTTGCACATCATCTTTCTCACCCAAACCTACATTTTCAGTGTCACCTTCTGCTCTAGCCCTTCGAATTTCCTCCTCATTATTTTTTTGCATTACGATACTCAGCATCAACAAAATCAGCCTCATCTTGAGGACTTCTTTCCAAATCAGAATCTCCATCTTCATGACTGCTTTCCAAATCAGCTTCTTCATCACCACTAGATTAAACTTGTTCATTCTCTACTTAACTAACAACACTAGGATCATTATTTACCCCGAGTACCCACACTAGGATCACTTATACTTCAACATCTTCTTGAATATCATCTGCATGCTCAGATTTTGGTAAAGGTAAATTTTGAACAACCTCTGCATCATCTATCTCATGCTCAACAGACAAGTCAATTGCACCCCAATGTTAAGCCAAGTAACTCACGTGCAATGTACTTCTATCATTATTCAACAACTGTAGGCTCTTCAAACTCTCATGCGGTAGTTTAAATGACAGAGACAATATTTTACCATACATGTCCTCCTTAATAAATTTTAATAAGTGAGGATATGATTAAAAAAAAAAATCAGGGTCCATTGTCACTGTTTCCACCCCACCATCTACATAATCCATAACAGGTTCTTGGACAAATTTCCACCATGGTGAATTCTTATTTCAACAATGGAATACATCCTACAAAATAAAGACATGTTAAATTGTATTAAAAATATTCTAACTGGAGTACAAAAAGCATACTGCAAAAAAAAATAAAAAAAAATACAATAATTAAGAAAACATTTGTCAAGTATAAGAATTCCAAACTGCAGATGTCAGTATCAAGTTACAAATTCAAACTCAGCCCCATTGGACTATGAACAGCAAATTGAATCTTAAACAAATACAAAGACAAATATGTACTAGCAGTATATTGTCCCCACAAGTATAGAAAGCTACTAGAACATTAACAAATAGAATTCTTTGTACTAGTAGTATACAAAGGCAACATAAATATAGGGACCACAATACAAAGGCAATATATAAAATACAACTACACTTATTGGAATGCATTCATCAGGACCACAATACCCAAAATGTCTCCACTATAGACAACATAATGGGACCCAATCTATAAACAAATACACTCAAAGATAAACAAATAAGCATATTTTGAAAGCTAATGCCCATTCACCCTAAAGATATAAAAAGCTTTATTTTTTCTATACCCATAAACAAATTCTTATATCAGTGGTAGCATAAACAAATTTATATTGCCCATCTACGGTAGAAACACTAAATACTTACTAGTAGAAGAAATAGAAAAAAAAAAAAAAAACACTAAACTAAACTAAACTAAACCTTAAAACCAGTGGTAGCATATTAGTGGTAAAAGAAAAAAAAATCTCCAATTTGTGATGGAGTGGAGCGCCAATGAAGCGTCGATGGTGGTGAAGGGTGGTGGAGCGTCGATGGTGGTGGAGTTGCGATTACTACGACAATCAAGGCATTGTAAAGAGAGCGGTGGAGCAATTACTGCAATAGTCAAAGCAGTAATCAAGATTCAATTCTTATTACTGCGATTATGTCGATGGTGGTGGAGCGAGGAGCGATGGTCGTGGATTAGCGCTGGACGAAAGAGGTTGGACAACGAATGCTGGATTAGGGCTGAATCCTGATTTTCAGTTTTCTTTTATTTTCTTTAATTTAATTTTTTAATTTATGCTTATGTGGCGAGAAAAAGAAATTAAAACAAAGCTTATGTGGTACCACGGGGACAGTTACTGGCACTTACCGGAGAGGTAACTGGCTAATGGGGTCGATGACTCAAAATTGTGGGTTCATGTGTTCAATTGCACTTTTAAAAGTTTGTGGACCTAATTGGCTTTTAGCGAAATGTTTAGGGGCCTATTTAACCCTTTCCCTTCTCTTTTTTTTTTTTTTTTTTTTTTTGAAAATAAACTCCAATTATCATTATGTAGCATCAACCGATAAGGTAATAGAAAGGAAAACGGGAGCGCTATTTGTCCACTCCCTATGATCAGCATTAAAGACGACACCTCAAGCTAATAAATGAATTGTCATGTTCGCAAGTCACTTAACAAATATAAAGTTAATTCTAGAGAAATCATTAGCTAATTTTCAAATGTCTTCAAGTACAAGAGCAAATGAAGAGTTGTTACAAATATTCTTCAGGCTTTGGATGACAAGTAGGTCATTTGACTTAATTAGGATATTTTTAACTCTTTACTTTTCAATCATTTTAGGGCATCTCTTATGGTAACAGCTTCTGCCACCTTAAGATGAAAGAGACCATGCCAATGAACTATTCTTGCAACCACAAAGTCACCCTTAAAGTTACGCAGTATGAGCCCTAAACCTATAACCTTAGAATTTACCAGCCTGGAAGGGAGGGGGGAGGGGGTTCCACTTCACTTGGGATGAGTGTTGATTTGGATAACTATCTTGATCCTGCACTCTATGTCTCTATTCCATGCTCCGAGAAACCCTCTTGCTTTTTCCACGATCCCAATATAACTGGTATTAGTCCCATTCCAATTCTCCTGTTACGCACAATTCATATTTTTTCAGCAATTTGTAAGTAGAAGGTAAAGAGTTGAAAACTGCAATTCACGACCATCACCATATACAACTAGTCGAACCCCAAACCATGGAGGATTTTCTCGCCGGTGACGAAAACAAAATCCTGAGATACATCCGTAGGAACCCACTCGCAAATGCAACTGGGCTTCCAGAAACGGGTGAACACATAGTGAATGGACCATTTACCCTTCAATTTAATGGTCTTTGGATGAATTTTGTAACGAAGGGCCAAGTTGAGTGTGAGTTTTAAATTCAAATGACCAAATTGGTAATTTTCAAAGGCAATGACTAAATTAAGCAATACTCAATAGTTGGACCAAAATGGGTATTAACTCTCTCTCTCCCGACCTATTGCACTTAAGACTTGATCGGATCCGGCTTCACGCTTGGTGAGGGTTTTTTCCCGACTTGACCAGACCCGAGAAGAGCACGCACTTGATCAACCCCTGACCTTGGACTTGAACAGTCGATTGGCTTAATGAACCCCTGCCCTCAACTTTTATGCTCGGTCTCGACCTGTGGGATCGACTTAGTACCCCGAGCCCATCTACTTAGCTCTCGGAGTTGAACATTGGCACAAACGCTTAGGCATTGATCCATTAGATATCCTTCGAAGCGTGGACGATTTCTCTTTAGCTGGCAAAGCTGCCGAGTGCATGGTATGTGTGGCGTGCATGTCGGCTGATGGACAATTTTAATAGTCCTCGCAAGTGCACGAGTCACTGTAGTAATACTGTGCAAAGCAAGGGTCGATAAATCCCACAGGGAATTGATACAATGCAATTTAATAACTTGAACTTAAAATTACTTAAACGAAAATACTCAGAATGAATATAAAGACGAAGACCAATTCAAATGCTAAAATGATTAAACCAAAACTAAAAGAAGCCAAGTAAATAATTAGCAATTTAGCATGCACTATCTATGACAAATAACAATCAGAATATAAAAGCTTAGGAACAAGAATAAAATTAGCCAGATTTCAACACAATCAATCTTAGTAACAATCAAAAGATAGAACTTAATGCAATTGGCAAAATTAAACACTACAAAATTAACAATGCATAATGTAAATAGCAATAGTTAAATCACAAAGCATAATATTCCTAACGTAAAACACAAAATAAATTAATAAATTGAAAGAATAAAAGAGAATGAAGAAACACAAAATAAATTAACAAATCAGAAGAATAAAGAGATGAAGAATTGTAGTAAGAAACTGATGCTGCCAATCTAAACCAAATGGAAACTTCTAAATAATTATCTAAACAAATTGAAATCTTTGCTTCCAAACTATTAACACGTTGCATCAAGACTGCTGCTTCACCAAAATTAATTGCCAACGCCCTAGATAACCGCCGAATGTAATTAAACCGCCGCCCAGACCAGAATTGTTGCCGCCGAACTCCAAAACCCAGCC